TTTCATATTTGTGGAACCTCACGTCAGCACTCAGCAGCCGAGGCCTTTAGTCAACGCGCATCTGCTTCCCATAATTAACTAGGGGACGAGAACTCACCATTATTGTAAATATTACTAAGAACCGAACACAGGATATTTTACTTTTTATGTTGTGTTTTAACCAAAGTTATTATTGACCATTATGTGTTATTATACAGCTTATTATTAGTTTCTATGACTTTCAATCCTGTATCAAGGTGGATGTTTATTGTTAGTGCAGAGAAAACATAAATAAAGACAGTACTCTTGCTAAGGTGTAAAGTGGCAATGTCTCTTAATTATAAAATGATGTTCTGTGGAGTTGTAAGTAAGACTTTATCGATGCTTTATGACTCTGGCAGTTAAAATACTGAAACACACATTAACAGCAATAAAATTATCAACAAATAGTTTACATTTAGGATTATAACCAATAATATTTTATAAATGACGATAAATTAGAATAATTAGATGTAATACGAAACGTCACCAGTAAAAAGGAAATTGGAACAGTATGTAGAAAGGGAAGTAGATGCAGCTGTAATCAAAATTAAATCTTACAAAGCTTGTGGGGTTGATCAGCTTCCAGGAGATTTTATAAAATAAATGAACACGAATGAGATCAAAACGTTTGACTAAAATATGTAACTCTATACTCGTATACTTCAAAGGAGACCTTTCCTGGGATTTAGAAATATAAATATTCCTATCATATCCCAAAAAATCCATTGGCCTTAAAGTGCACACAGTTTAGAAATATTAACTTAAGTCATGCCTGCAAATTTTATATTAAACATAATTTTTAACAGAATAAAATTCTTAACAGACAGCGATTTATTTGAAGATCAAATTTGATTTAAATAGGGAAAACTGGAAAAGCTACAGTATATTTAGTTTGAGAATTTTGAATGAGAGGGCTTTAGAGGTCCAAAAAGATTTATACGAATATATATACTTTGTTGATTTTAAAAACGCTTTCGATAGGGAAAAAATATATACAAGAATTGGACAAAAATAAGCATTAAAGAATTTAATAGTAAAATTCAAAGAAAAATCTTCACTGGCATCAGACGACTGCAGTATGAGTAAATAATGAACTTAAAAATTGATTCAAAGTTAGACAGGGAGTATGACAAGGTTGTTTTCTATCACCAACATTATATAACATTCAAAATTCTTATTAAGAGAAGTTTTAACTAATAATGGTAAAGAAATATCAAATTAACACAAGGCAGATGATACTGCTTTTATCACAGATAGTGAAAAGGCATTACAAACACCGGCTAACAGGTTAGTGGAAAAGGGGTAAAGAATATGATAAAGCTGTAAAAACGAATGTAATGGTTGTTTCCAAATTGAAAGTAAATCCTGAAATAAAAATTACAATTATGGTAGGTAACAGGGAACTTAAACAAGTGGAAAATTATGTTTATTACCCGAGATGGAAGATGTGCGAAGAAAAAAATAGATCAAGCTAAAACGGAATTTAATAATCTTAAAGATTTGATAAAAAGAACCATTAAATTTAAATTTTAGGAAAATATTGCTGAAAGGCTTTATTTGGCAAAGGATTGATGTATGGGTCAGAAGCGTGGACATTTTCAGCAGACACTAGACAGAGGTTATGGAGGCCTTTGACATGTGGTGTTCTAGGCGAATGTTAAGAATAAGCTACACTGACAGGAAAACAAACGAAGAAATACTTAGATTAGTAAAAAAATTCAAGATACTTGAAAATCTTCGAGAAAGTAAAATGAAATACCTTGGTCAGGAATGATGGGATAATAGCAGAAATATTAATGGGCAAAGTTGAGGGTAGGAAGGAAAGCAGAGACAGGGATGGAAGAATTATATTAAAATTTGAGCCCCCAGAGGGATTAAAAATCTCGGAGGATTGGTAAAAACAACCCGAAAACGTTAAGAGTGGAGGACTGTGGTCGCCAACACTCAGAGATATGAGGACGGTTCACTGATTGAGCGACTCGAAAACCGAAATGCTCATTGAATAACAAATTTATAAATACCGAGTAAAAAATAACTATAGTCTCTCAGACAAAATGTATTTTAAATGTAAGCTAAGAACAAGATATATGAATAACTCTAATCTTTCAATTCATTTCCAAATTAACTTAAAAAAATAGAAATCAGCTAAAAATCTTACACCAAGTTGATCCGGGTGAAAATAAGCACAAAACGTAAACCACAAGAGCCTGATATTATAGAAGACCTCCAGACATCTTCCTCGCGACGTTACACGACAAATCTACACCACCTGGTTGACAGGTACAGTAATCCGGGCGCCCTGGGGATTACTCTGATATTTACGTAGTTTTGGTGGCGTGGGCCTGGTGGCTTAGGACCTACCTAGCACCTACACCTTTAATGACGCCTAGAGTCTGCTGTGGTGCCTTTAAAAACCAACTGAGGGGAAATAGCAGAATCCTTCAGAGACCATTAGAGGGGTAGCAGTAGTAACACTTTTAAAAATCGTTTTATGGAAACGATACCGTCAAGATGGTTTAAGAAATAACGCCTCATAAATAATTCTTAGCTACAATCCAATAGGTTATTTATCTATCGCACTGATTCATAGCTAAAAGATTCTCAGAATGTCCAATACACCGACCCGTCTTGACAGCAGGGGAAACGTTACACCGGTGACAGGGCAACACCCAATCTCGGTACTTCTTGACAGCAATAAATAACCAAAACACAGAAAAAACAGTTAAGACTATGTCTATTTGCAGACATCAGAACCATTGGGGATATTGTTTTGTTTTGACGGCTTGGCTCCACCTGCCCGTACTGGACCACAGGAGCAAAACATCCAGCTCCGTATACCTCCAGTCTCTAGCAAGGAGACAATGGTTATAAAGCTGACAATGGTATTTGTTTATCTGTGTTAATTTGTTTTTTTAAATAACAACTTTCTGTCCACACAACACAGGTTGTTATTATCAGCACAAGCTGCCATAATTAGCACGGGTTGTCATTATTAACACAAATTGCCATTATTAGCACAAGCTGTCATTATTAACACGGTTTGTCATTATTAACACGAGGTGCCATTATTAACACGAGGTGCCATTATTAACACAAGTTGCCATTATTAGCACAAGTTGTCATTATTAACACGAGGTGCCATTATTAGCATAAGTTGCCATTATAAGGACAAGTTTTCATTATTACCCCAAAAAATAGTTAATGCTGGTAAAAATATCCATCTCTCGTCCACATCTTAAGGCACCACAAATCACCGTTGCCCTCAGCACCAGTAAGTCTTCTTTATTTATACTTTTAGCAAACTTTTCCGAGCTAAATTTTGTCAGCGTACAAATACTTTCAAGTGATATACGTAAGTGACATCTTCCTTTCTACAGCCACGGTGAGTGAGATGACGAAACACACACACACAGGAAGATCTAAACAAATTTTTCGAATGGTCTGAAAAATGGCAGATGAAATTCAACGTCGACAAATGTAAAGTACTCAGTATAGGAGATGTAAACAGGGAAACCAGATACCAGATGAACAACGATGCCATAGAGAAATCCGACTGCGAGAGAGATTTAGGAGTAATGATAAGTAGGAACCTTAAGCCAAGTAAACAATGTGTTTTTGCTCGTAACAAGGCTAATAAAGTACTTGGGTTCATACAATGGAGTGTTAGTTACAAGACTAGCGAGGTCATCCTAAAACTGTATCTTGCTCTTGTGAGACCACACCTGGATTACGCAGTTCAGTTCTGGTCACCGTATTACAGAATTTATATAGAATCCTTGGAAAGAATTGAGAGGAGAATGACAAGACTAATCCCAGGCATTAGGAACCTTGAGTTTAGAGACAGGTTAAAGCATCTTAATTTGCACTCCCTTGAGAGACGTAGAGCGAGGGGCGACCTGATAGAGGTGTATAAGTGGAAGGCAGGGCTAAACAAAGGGGACATTACAAAGGTACTGAAACTATCCAACCAGGAGCGAACTCGTAACAATGGTTTTAAATTAGACAAATTTAGATTTAGGCGTGATATAGGTAAACACTGGTTTGGAAACAGAGTAGTGGATGAATGGAACAAATTACCAAATATCATCATTAACTCGAATACGCTGAATTGCTTCAAACATAGGTTGGATGCTCATATGAGCAATAGGGGTTGGGTGTAAACGGGACTGCCCAGTATGGGCCAATAGGCCCGCTGCAGTTTCCTCCATTCTTATGTTCTTATCTTCTTATCTTCTTGTTTTCAACTAACTTCACTTAGTCCTTCAGTATCATAATTGATTTATCTCCTTGGCATCTTCTTCTAGCTCGTAAACTTCTTTTATACGTCACCATTGTCAGGATCATCCGACAGCGTAAAGCAGTAATTCGGGGTTTTACCGCCCCTTTCCCGGGGTGAGCTTGACCACTGTCTTGGTCCGGGTCATGATCGTCTCCGAGAATGTGAGCCGAGTTGTTGTTGATGTTCTCATATTTTGGGGAGTCGGTCGTGAAATGCCATACTGGTGACTCTTCCCTTACTCCCAGCCTCAGTAAAGGTAAGGTAAGGTAAAATTAATTAATATATATATATATATATATATATATATATATATATATAAAGAAAAGTTTTTGTGTGGGTTAAGGCATAGCTGCCGAAGCACAAAAATGGCACAGACGCTCCAAGTTTCTAAGAAAATTTTCATGTAAAGTTTGCACTGTATGGTAAGTAAAAGACGTAGAAAGAGTAAAACACAAGAATGGATGAAATCTCAGACCAAAGAAAGAGACGCTATGGGGAGAAAAGTTACAGATATGAGAGAGAACCAACGAGAGCTTCGACTAGATCCCATGACTTAAGAAAACACTCAGAGATAAAGAAAACAGTTAATTGACAACAGGAAGTCTGTGGCGCTCAGTAGGCAGAAAACTCTTGACAATGACAGAGACAAACTATTTTAAGCTGATGATGGACGAACATTGATGGTGGCGGTAGTACTTACCCGCCTTGAATGACAGCCGCCACACCCAGCAGGAGGAAGATGTGTGTGCAAGAAGAGCAATAGCCACTTCTCTCCAGAGTTACCTTTTCTTCGGTTACTTTATTATTTTTTTCTTTAATCACAAGTTTATTTTCAGAGTTTGTTTTCCAGCAATGACTTTGACTGACTAAGAATTTCATTTTTTTTTTTACACACGGTTTGCAAAAATCTTGCCTTCCTCTTGAAATATATTCCGGTTGTATTTCGATATACAGTGGTTTGATATTGTAAATTTAGTTTGATGTCTGAGAAATATTAGACAATCGTGAGAGTTAGAGAGGAGGGATATTTACTGCCACACAGCTGGCCGGTGCTTCATCACGACCCTCACATGACACCACATCACTAAAACTTACTTCAAGTAATTCTCACCAGACTTGTCCAAATTTTCATCACAAAGAAAAATTATTTTGTTCTTTGACTTGTCGTCGCCCAGACAATAAAGTTCTTCAAGTGCCACAAAAATATATCTTCATTTTACCTTTAAGGGTATTATAAAATATACGTATTCTTATATAGATATATATATATATATATATATATATATATATATATATATATATATATATATATATATATATATATATATATATATATATATATATATATATATATATATGCAAGTAAATCACTGTAGGTGCGCGTGATCTAGGTATATGCTGATAACCACAAGGAAAGAAGAAAACACGAAGTTCCCAAGCGCTTTCGTGTAATTCACATCTTCAGGGGTGAGTACAGACTAGAGAGAGTAATACAAATCAAGGTGTATATATACAGAGGAGGGTGAGACCAGGTCCACAATGGTCAGGTATTAGGTAATGACCCTACTAATCTTTAAATAGCACACAACGGTTGGTGGTCAGGTCAGATGGTCAAGTGACCCGGCCTTCTCACCTGATCACAAATCTTCTTAATTACAAAATTGTCCAGCTTGTACATGCCGTTACTCAAATTCATGTTGAATGCTTCGGTATGTTTAATAAGACTAGATTCTATGATGTTCCTACTGTCAATTGACTTACATGGTAATATTGAGGAGGCATTATCCCAGTCAATGCAATGCTTGTTATCCCTCAAATGAACAAACAGAGCATTGGATTCCTGGCCTGTCCTAACACTGTATTTGTGTTGTTTAATTCTAGTTGCAAGATCTTTACCTGTCTGGCCTAAGTAAAACATATTACATTCCTTGCAAGGAACTTTATAAATGCAACCAATTGTGTTGTTGGGGAGTTCTTGATTAACATTTGTTTAACAGTGCATGAGTTTTTAAATGCCACATTGACGTTCCAGGTTTTTAGCTGTGCAGGAATGTGTGAGAAATTTTTGTGAAATGGTAATATTAAGATATTCTTATGGTCATGGGTGGGCTTGGGGTCAGTTCTATAAAAAGTTTTCTTAGTAATGTTTAAGCATTTGTCTATGAAAGATCTAGGGTATTTAAGGTTTGAGCCAATATTATATATATATTTGTATTCCTCATCGATGAATTCCGGACTGCAAATTCTCAAGGCACGTAAAAACATTGTTGAAAATACTGACTGTTTGACTTTATTATGGTGGGCAGAATAATAATGAATGTATGAACACACATTAGTTGGTTTTCTATAAATACTGAACTTAAAAGTGTTACCTATTCTGTGTATCAGACAGTCTAGGAATGGCAATTTACAGTCTTGCTCTAATTCCACAGTGAATTTGATCGAGGGGGCTAAGTTGTTAAGTTGTGGCAGGAAAGCTTTTAGGTCCTCATTACTTGTGGAACATAATACATATGTATATCTAAAGCAGACTGCTAGGGGTGGTAAATATTATATGGTTTTACTTTTCAAAATTCCACTATCCTAAATTTGCTTAATACAGGTGAGAGTGGATTACCCATTGCCATACCAAATTTTTTGTTGCTTAACTATTCCCCATTGAATTCAGGAATTTACTGTTCATAATACATAGTTTGATAGTTCGATGAAGTCGTCTTTCGAGACAGGCATTGAAATGTTATCCAGGAATCTATGAGGAACTCCTAGTAAATCATCCTTCTTGGGACTTTTTGTAAGAGCGTTACATCAACGGCAGTTTAAATCATGATTAATGTATAAATTGTAGAGTTTATCAACCAGATCCATATTATTTCTCATGATAAACGGAGTTAGAAATGTTGCCAACTAGAAGTTAGTAAAAGAAACTAACCATTTAGACTAGTTTATAAAGTTGGTATTTCATTTGTGATTCTTTGATGTTTAATGAGCGTAGCTTTGCCTCTCAATAGGGACTTCAGTTTTTTGTTGAACTGGGTGTTGACAGTGTTGAGAGGATTATTTATAAGTTTAGAATATGTTGTGGTATCACATAAGAGGCACTCCTTATTAGAAATAGTGATTGGACTAAGGATGCCAATAACAACTGTGTAGTGAATCTCTCCTCGAAACAACTAGACAATGATACCTTGTGTGCCCTCGGCTATGGTTTAAGTTTTGATGGTTCTAACAAGGGAGTCGACAGTGTTGACATAGCCAGAGCATTTTGCAATTTGGAGAAATTCAGTAATTTGACAAGTGAAGAAGTGAACATGTGTAAAGGTGTCGTGTATGCATCTATGTCCAAGCCTTGTGTTCCAAACTGTCCAGAAAGATTCACCAAAGCAATCCAAGCCCTTAAGAAAAATAAGGATCTACATGTCACTAAAGCAGATAAAGCCAACACAGTAGTGATCTTAAACAAAGATGACTATATCTCTAAAATGAATGACCTCTTATGTGATACCACAACATATTCTAAACTTATAACTAATCCTCTCAACACTGTCAACACCCAGTTCAACAAAAAACTGAAGTCCCTATTGAAAGGCAAAGCTACGCTCATTAAACATCTTACTTCAACGTCCCCTCCACTGCCATACATGTACGGTGTAATCAAGACCCACAAACCCAATAACCCAGCAAGACCCATCATTAGCTCAGTTGGGTCAATCTCTTATAAACTATCTAAATGGTTAGTTTCTTTACTAAATCCCCTAGTTGGCAACATTTCTAACTCCAATATCAAGAATAATATGGATCTGGTTGATAAACTCAATAACTTACACATTAATCATGATTTTAAACTGGTCAGCTTTGATGTAACATCACTCTTTACAAAGGTCCCAGTTGATGATTTACTAGAGTTCCTCATAGATTCCCTGGATAACATTTCACTGCCCGTCTCGAAAGACGACTTCATCGAACTCATCAAACTATGTATTAAGGATTGCAAATTCGAATTCAATGGGGAATATTATGCTCAAAAATTTGGTATGGCAATGGGTAATCCACTCTCACCAGTATTAAGCAACCTATATAGATTCTTTGAAAGAAACTATTAAATATTTTACCACCTCAGCAGTCTGGTTTAGATATGTTGATGATGTATTATGTCTCTGGCCATGTAATGAGGACCTAAAAGCTTTCCTACCACAACTTAACAACTTAGCCCCCTCGATCAAATTCACTGTGGAATTAAACCAGACTGTAAATTGCCATTCTAGACTATCTGATACACAGAATAAATAACACTGAGTTTAGTATTTATAAAACCAACTAATGTGTGTTCATACATTCATTATTCTGCCCACCATAATAAAAGTCAAACAGTCCAGTATTTTCAACAATGTTTTTTGCGTGCCTTGGAGAATTTACAGTCAGAATGCATCGATGAGAATACAAATATATATAATAAGCCAAGCAAACCTTAAATACCCTAGATCTTTCATAAACAAATGTAACATTACTAAGAAAACTTTTATAGAGAGCTGACTGGCCACCCCTTGACCATGAGAATATCTTAATAATACCATTCACAAAATTTCTCACACATTCCTGCACAGCTAAAACCTGGAACGTCAATGTGGCATTTAAAAACTCCAAGCACTATTAAACAAATGTTAATCAAGAACTCCCCCCAACAACACAATTGGTTGCATTTATAAAGTTCCTTGCAAAAGATAATATGTTTTACTTGGGCCAGACAGGTAAGATCTTGCAACTTTCAAATTAAACAACACAAATACAGTATTAGGACAGGCCAGGAATCCAATGCTCTGTTTGTTCATTTTGAGGGATAACAAGCATTGCATTGACTCAGAATAATGCCTCCTCAATATTACCATGTAAGTCAATTGACAGTAAAGACATCATAGAATCTAGTCTTATTAAACATACCAGAAGCATTCAACATGAATTTGAGTAACAGCATCATACAAAACAAGATATTTGCCAATTAAGAAGATTTGTGATCAATTTAGAAGGCCAGGTCCTTGACCATCTGACCTGACCACCAACCGTTGTGTGCTATTTAAAGATTAGTAGGGTCACATTACCTGACACCAGCCATTGTGGACCTGGTCTCACCCTCCTCTGTATATATATACACCTTGATTTATTACTCCTAGTCTGTACTCACCCCTGAAAGATGCTGAATTATTCTTTCCTTGTGGTTATCAGCATATATATATATATATATATATATATATATATATATATATATATATATATATATATATATATATATATATATATATATAATATATATATATATATACCTGTATGTGTGTGTGTGTGTGTGAACGGTGATGAATAGGCTTAGGATAATTATGCATTTAAAAATGGCTAAATATGCACTTAAATATGCACTTTAAAATAAGTTAATAAATAATAACTACTAAGTTAATAACTCCTTTTCTGAACATTTTTTCAGTGAATTTACTTTCCCAGACAGGATGTCGCCGAAGTAGGATTTTTCAAAGAAGAATTAAATAAAAAAAACAATATACTGACATAAAGTAATTTAATAAACAATTCTGGAAAAGTTTTCCTTTTAAGAAAATAGAAGAACAAAAGTGTCAGGAGGGAACTAATGGAGCCCGTGCATCTATATCCTGCCTGGCTGAACACGAACCCATCACGTACAGTTCATGTCCACTGACCAGCCGGCCTAGCTAACCACAGCCTGATGTTGAGCTATATAAACGTCACTTAAGTATGTTCCTTTTGGATATTATGACGCTAAAACAAAATCGCGTATTTTCGATTTTGTATTAGTGCAATAAAATGGACTGTTATATTTCAAATATCAGTAATTTCTGCCCCAGCGTTGCTTGTATGCTCGCGAATTTTTGGCCCCTTGAGGTTGAAGAATGTTTTATAATATTTTGGAATTTTCCAAATACATGCCTTATAAAACAAAACATTACGAATATGCACTTTAGCTCAAAAATGGCTTAAGTATGCATTTGCATATGCACATATGCAAATGCATAATTATCCTAAGCCTAGTGATGAATTTACATAATTTATCCCATCCCAGATATATGTACCTGTAGTATATTGCAAGGTGATGGAGAAACTTAGTCATCTAATTAAAGTTGTAGGTTAAGTATCACAGATTATCAGGAACTGTTGTCACGTAAATGTTATTTAGCAACGCTCAAGTGACCATCACTTTATGGGTGGTATAAGTTATATAGGTCAAGTATATAGGTGTAAGTTAATGTGTTCATTGTGTGTAATGCAAACGTACATGACAACAATAATATGGTTGTTTCTTAATTTATCGGGGAAACACATTGCTATGTTATTATGTTTTCACCATAAATATGTTCAAATATCAAACACACTCACTTAAACGCTTTGCATTTACTTACTAGGCGTCGTATATATGCTTAAAGCGTATAAACACACTCACATACACACACAATTCGCTAAACGTGTGCCTTAACATACAAGACTAAGTAAGCGACCGCTGGTGTGTAGGTTAAGGCTGGTGACCGCACGCGCGAGTTGGTGGACAGAACCAGACTGAGCTTGAGAGCGGGAGAGAGAGAAGCGGTGTTGCCAGACCACCAGACGCCACGCAGCCTCCAAAACCGCCACTGTACCCCACCACCATCGCTATCCAAGTGAGGCAACTCTCTGGGAACCAAGTGGAGACCCACGACAGAGAGTGCGTAGTGCAGCACGCCAACAACCCATATCTATCTCTCTAGTATATTTATGCATGGTCATACTGTATGTATATTATGTATGCTGTATGTATACTATGTATGTACCACATTTATCTAAGCGTGTGGTGACATGAAACAGGGGCATTGCCACACGCTACTGACTAGAGAAGTAATGTATATAATTGACACAGACTCAAAGGGGCGGGTGGGGTTGTCGTCACTCATGAAGGGTTCCTGCTGCTGGCTGGGTTGTAGTACTTGGCATCGACCCCGACTTCTCCAAGGCTGTCCATGCGTGTAAGCCCTGCCAAGTACTATAACCCAGCCAGCAGCAGGAGCCCTTCATGAGTGACGACAACCCCACCCGCCCCTTTGAGTCTGTGTCGGCCGACTTTTTCTGTGTCAGGAGAGTCCTTCCTGGCTATCGTCGACCGTCTCTCTGGTTGGCCGGTTGTCATCAAGTGCGGTAATGATACGACATCTGCCGCCACCATCAGCAAGTTCCGCCACTACTTCCGTTACGTGGGCGTTCCTGTGCGCCTGCGAACCAACGGAGGGCCTCAGTTCACAAGCCAGGACTTTGCTGCGTTCCTCGACCGGTGGGGAGTCCGGTATGTGTTGTCACCGCCCCATTACCCGCAGTCCAACGGCCACTCTGAGGCTGCTGTCAAATCCCTGAAGCACCTCATCCTCAAAGTGGCCCCTTCTGGGAATATTGACTGCGAGGCCTTCGACCGGGGTCCCCTTGAGCTCCGCAACACACCCAATTACACCGGACGCTCCCCTGCCCAGGTCTTGTATGGATGCCCCCTCCGTTCTTGTGTCCCTGCTCACCCTCAGTCCTTCTCCAAGGAGTGGCAGGCCAAGACAGAGGATTGTGATCGCCGAGCCGCCGAACGTGTTCAAGACGTCGTCGCCCGCTACAACGACCACGCCCGTCCTTTCCCCAGGTTGAGTGTCGGCACCCAAGTCCGTGTTCAGGACCCGACCTCCCTACGTTGGGACAAAGTGAGCGTATTCATGGGTCTCGGTAGGTCACGGGACTACCAGGTGCGGTTACCCAGCGGTCGGGTGTGGTGGAGGAACCGTCGTTTCCTCCGCCCCGTAACGCATTCCGCTGACCCCGCCACCAGTGCTGAGTCCCATATCCCCCCCACCTCCCAGTGATTAAGCCCCTCGACGCTCAGAACGGATCCACAGGAAAAGGTCCGCTCAAGACTTTGCTATGAGCGTATAGGGGAGGTGTATGTATATCATGTATGCTGTATGTATACGATGCATGTACCCCATTTATATACATTACTTCTCTCGTCAGTAGCGTGTGGCAATGCCCGTTTCATGTCACCACACGCTTAGATAAATGTGCCTGGCGACATCTGGAAGCTGCTAATGTACCACTTACCACATGTCGCCTGAGAGGTCAGAGAGAGGCCAGTTGGCCCATATAGGAGTGCAAGGACTACGTGTGCTTGTAAGTGCACCCTTGTATATTTCCGTTGAATAGAACCTATAGAACTCTACAGGTATTTATGTTCGCTCCTGTAGTTAGAACCAAGTACCCCGAACATCTCCACATACCACGCCATAATTCACTCTCAGAACAAGATCAAAGTTAGTTTAATACGATAAAACCTTTAAAACTAGTGAAGTTCATGGCCACAGTGTACTGTAGAGACAATAAATTACAAAATAATATACATCAACACTTACATCACTTTTATTTAGGAAACTATGGTGTGAAAATAAGAAAAAATTAAGAGATTCAGTACAGAAAACATGATAATATATTAAAGATTTAATAACGATTGAATCCAGAACCTATAAACAGTTTCCACCTGCTGTTTGAGGCAAGGTCATGGAAAATAGATTAATCCTATAATGTTCTTCTATTCACAAAATTATCACATAACATTCACTCATAATACTTCTGGGTTAACTAATGTCAAAATATAAGGTGAAATAAGATAATATATCACTTTGCTGATATCACATCACTATGTTACCATACACCGGAGGAAGACAACAAAAAACATGAACAGAAAAATATCGTACATCTTTTGCGGTTAAAACATTCATAACTTACTGCCCTCACCACTGTCTACTACTACTGCCCTCACTACCAAGCAAAGGTAGAGTGTAGAAGGGCTGAAAAGGAGTTCCAGATCTTTGTTGCAAGCGAGGTCAAGTCAAACTTAAAGGCGTTTTATCGCTATGCAAAGTCGAAATTAAAAACGCGAGTAGGAGTATCAGACCTGAGGTTTGAAGATGGTAGTTAAGCAGATTCTGACGAGGATAAAGCCTAGGCATTGAACAGCTTCTTTTCCTCGGTGTTCACAAGAAAGGATGCTATTAACCTTCCTGCGTTTGAGGACAGACTGTTCGACACAGCACTGACCCACATTGTATTCACAGAAGAGGGTATTAGAAATAAACAGTCAAAGCTAAAGGTCCAGAAGAGTGCCGGCCCTGACATGCTGCACCCCAGAGTGCTAAGAAAATTGTGCAACGAGCTTGCAGAGCCCCTGAAGATCCTGTTCTGTAATTGCCTGGATGAACAAAAGGTCCCCAGTGATTGGAAAGTGGCTCATGTGGGTCCTATCTTCAAGAAGGGCGATCGTCGCTCCACGAACAACTATTGACCGGTGAGCCTGACCAGCATAATATGTAAAGGACTTGAGAGTATTATCAGAGATGCCGCAATGGAACATCTACTTCGAAACAATCTTGTAAAGGATTGCCAATACGGTTTTATGCCGGGGCGCTCCTGCTTAACACAATTGCTCAAGATATTGGATATTTGTACCCATATTCGGGAACGGGGTGGTAATAGCGATAAAATATACTTAGATTTTGCCAAGGCTTTTGACAGTGTACCCCACGAGAGGCTGAAAATCAAACTGGAAGGGTACGGAATTCGGGGAAATGTCCTAGCGTGGATAGAAGACTTTCTACATGATCGCAAGCAGTGTGTGTGGTGATTAATGGCACGAAATCATCATCTATACCTGTCACAAGCGGGGTACCACAGGGCAGTGTATTGGGCCCGCTGTTGTTTGTTTGTTTGTTTGTTTCATAAATGACATGCCTGACGTTGTACACTCCTCCATACAAATGTTTGCCGATGACGCCAAGTTCTTTCGGGAATCAAGAACCATATGGACTGTGAAGAACTGCAGAAGGATCTCTGTGAGCTCCAAGAATGGTCGAAGAAATGGCTGCTGAGATTCAATGTCACGAAGTATAAGAGGATGCACCTGGGGCGTACCAACGGTAAGGAGGCGTATCATATGTCCCAACGGGATGAAGAAACTGCACTATTTGAGACTGAATGTGAGAAAGACCTAAGTGTGTATGTTGACAATGAGCTGAAGTTCTCGGGCCATTGCGAGAAGAAGGTAAATAAGGCAATTAAATTATTGGGCCTTATAAGAAGGTCGCATTTACGGAATTGGCTTTGACACTCCCCAATCCATCCTACATAGGCTAATTAAAATGCCTGTTGGGATCAACGAGCGCCTCATATCGTTTCGAGTCCCATTGAATCACTCGCATATACTGTATACCTTCGTCATCAGTGCATACGCTCCAACACTGGATGCAGAGGATGACATCAAGGAGACCTTTTACCCCGACCTCGACAGAGTGCTAACACCTATCCCCCAGAGAAGATTAGGTTGTGCTCCTAAGAGACTTCGGTGCCAGAGTAGGAAGAGATGCTGTTATATGGCAAGAAATCAAAGGGAGAAATGGAGTAGGCAGTGTAATCTCAATGGCCTACTCCTCCTCAGCAAGTGTGCTGCACAAAATCTAACTATCACCAAGTAGACACGTTCAAGGGACCTTGACAACACCCACGATCCAAACACTGATATCTCATTGACTACATCACTGTCAGAGAAAGCGATCGCTGAGATGTCCTCATCACCCGAGCCATTCGTGGCTCATACCACTGTGACACTGACCATCGGCTCGTCAAAGCCAAACTCTCACTTCTCGTCGGCCTCCATAAGAGATTTTAACACTCAGCGTCTGGAGGATCCAGCAGTAGCATATGCTTTCAGAAAGTAGCTCGAACATCTACTGACAAGCATCCCAACAACAAGCAACCCAAATCCCACTGCCGCGAATTGGGTACTCTCGACACTGTCAAGGCAAAAATCTGCACAGACACCCTCGGCCAGATCGAAAAAATACACCATGACTGGCTTGATGAAAATGACCCGGAAATCAATGTACTCGTCGATGATGAACATGCTGCTTGCTTTAACTGACTGGCGGAACAACCTTGAGTCTCGGATCAAAGCTGATACCTTCTACAAGAAGAAAGCGGCGGCCCAGCGCGAATTTCATAATTTAAAGAGCGAATGGTTGAAAACAAAGACATGTGAAACAAAAATACAAAAAATGCACATCAACACAGGATGCGCTAATTTTTAAATTCCACTTTGACTAAAACATTTTAAGGGCCAATCACTCATGGCGAACCCCCCCCCCCCAACCCCCGCTCATCCGACGGTAACTCCCTAATTAAGGACGAAGAAGGCTGCTCAACCGAAATAACCAATGTGGATGTCCTGACTACCCAGCAGGTCCCTCAGCACCTGGAGCTGACCCACCTCAGCTATCCTCCATCCCTGGATAAGGTAGCTACTGCCATCAAACAGATGAAGAATAACATAGCCGCAGGACCTGATGGTATCCCAGCCGAGGTGTATAAAGCAGGAGGACCTCTGCTTACCAGTCGTCTCCACTCTCCTCTGGAGAATATATGGGAAAAGGAGGAAATCCCACAAGCTCTTAAAGACGCCTCCATTGTCAATATTTATAAGAACGAGGGGGACCGGTCAGACTGTGGCAACTAGCGCGGGATCTCGCTGGTGTCCGTAGCAGCAATATTATCGCCCGAGTTTTCCCAAACAGACTTCTTCCAAAGGCGGAAAACTTCCTCCCAGAATCTCAATGTGGCTTTCGACTGTCATGTGGCTCCAATGACGTGATCTATGCTGCCCATCAGATCCAGGAAAAGTGCAGAGAACAGCGTCGTGACCTGTACATGGCCTTCATTGACTTTACCAAGGCCTTCGACTCGGTCAACAGGGAAGCCCATACACCCATGTGAACGACCGTTACAATATTTATGGCACTTGTCAGACCGGATGGACACAATTAGTTACAGCCTCAAAGAATAACATGTAAACCTATATGGGGTGCCATGGATAGCCCCGCCCATACAGTATGCCAACCAGTCAGGGAAACAGAACATAAGGACCCTTGGAAAAACCCTACTCTGATTGGAGACTGAAAAGTCCTCTTCGACAGCAGGATAGGCAGTGTAAGAAAAAGACAGACAGTTTGGCTGTTGAAGTGTGGGTATGAGGTTAGGTTAGGTTAGGTGGCCCGGCGACCGTCGATACTGAAGGCTCGGTACTGTGTACCTAATGTTTTTTTATTTTGCGGGTGTACATTATAATGAGCTCCATTTTCCCCCACGGTATCTAGTTAGAAATGGGATGAACGCAGGTGACTTCATGTAACGTCTTTGCTGAATAAACTTAAAATGGAAGATGTCTCTTTCCACTACCCTTCATAATATATTCATCTAAAACAAAGGGTTCCCCCAGTAACAGATGGATGGATACCAAAATGTACTGTATATAATGTTAAGTGACCCACTTTAGTAATTACAGTACCACCCGACCGAGTAAAGCAAGTTGACACCAAACCTTTGTTATACAGACCTCGTCAATTACAGTCTCTTCACCAGCTCAAATCTAAATTCAAATTCAAAACATTTATTGACAAATACATCAAAAGGAGCTGGTTAGCATACTCTTCTCTAGCTATTTTTTTTGTCTATAAGCCTTCGTATACATCCTTTCCGGTGTAGAGGACCAGAAGTTACCCAGACCAGAAGCATACGAAACGATAACTGCGCATGCGCGGTTGATGACATTACAGCAAAGAACCTAATACAACCTGACCTAACAAATCCAATAGGTTGGGTTTGTTAGGTCAGGTTCTATGCATTATCGTGTTAATTTATGTGTGAAACAACTTACCTTAATATAGAGGTTGATGTACTGTATATCAGCAATGGCGAGGAGTTGAAGTCCTGAAGTGGAGAGCAGTGACGGAAGAACCAGGTCGTCCGTGTGCTCAGAGGCAAGTCCCGAGGGAAGGCGAGACGACGAAGGCCCGACGGGGCAGGGAGACAAAGGGAATCCCCTATGTCCATCGTCGGCGGAGGGTCGGTCATTGAGCCACATGTAGGCTCACTTGGGGACCCCGATGACAGGAGTCCACCCTCTACAGCCCCAGAAGGGGTGCAAGGGGGAGCCGTGGCCCCTGCTGGAGACCCTGACTTCTGAGGTTTCTCCTTCTTCTTTGACGTGTCTTCAAGAAGAAAGTCGTCAGCATCTCTGTCACCTACTGCCGCCGTTTCCACAGAACGGGAGCGTTTAACGGCGGGCATAGGGCACGTTGGCAAGACTGCAGTCAGGTGGAGTGGTAATGACGTCACTGCTACCTCACACTATCACATTGCGCATGCGCAAACTTGAAAAACTTTGCTCAGAGGGACCGGGTGGCAGGACCAGATGTTTCATCCCCCAAAAAATGACGAAGTCCAAAAGTAACAAAAAAATATATGCCACTGTGCTGATAACTGGGTCTTACTATAGTTGTCTGCACCAGCTGGGATTGGTAGACGCGCTGAATTCGTCAGAAATACGAATTTTAAGGAGCAGTCTCATACAGCCTTTGTTGACACTACGCACGCATGCGCGTTCCTCGGCGAGGAGTTGTCGTTTCGTAGACTTCTGGTCTGCTACACCAGCAGTAAGGCCGAGACAGCACTGTGTTTTCTTGTCTTCTTAGTGGCCTTTGTTCACTTTCTCGTAAATCCGGAACCGCGAAGCCATAGCGGGTTCAGTCACTACCAACGCCATCTATTGAACGACGGAATATTATATCGTGTGTTACTGGCCGTCACAGTTTCCTTCTGTGGTTATATTTTCCTCAGTTTGTTGTTGTTGTAAGAACCTGTCACCGTGATGGTACCAAACTCATCACCGTGAAGTAAGGAAGTTTGAGAACTGGGCCTGTAACAAAATGTATCGTTATATTAAGTTTGTATTGTTAACGTCAATAAGTATAGCTGTGTTGGGGATAATGTTACATGAAGCGTGGCCACAGTACATGAGGGCCACCACCATGGCCATCCGCGGCCTCTACTCCACACCCTCCCCTGATAAATTCAATTCTCCTACAAAGAAAACCAAGGAGAGACTCTTCACTCCTGAGCAACTCAAGAAATATGATGGGCGCGATGGAAATAGGGGACCATATTTAGCTCTTCTTGGACGAGTGTACAATGTTAAAGAGGGCAAGCAACATTATGGACCAGGAGGAGGATATGAATTTTTTTCAGGTTTGTAATGCTAAAACATTTTGTATTATTTGTAATTATATAGCACTAACCCGCGAGCAAAATTGATTGAAAACAATTATAAAAACGCCTGATTTTCATTGTTATATTATAGTGGACAATGTTGTAGTTTTTGGAAATACTGTATGATAAAAAATTTACATTTTTACAATAAATGCCACTAAACATTTGTAGCTATGAAGAACAGACCTAACCAACCAAACCTACCTAACCTTACCTAACTTTCCCGGTATATTAAACAGAAAGAACTTAATATGGTATGGTGAAATTTGAGGCATTTTCTGGACTTGAGATGATACGGCCACATTGGCACTATGCAGCCCTGGCGGGTTAGTCCTATATATTAACCAGATTATTTTACTTTTGGACCACTCGGGTAAGATCATATTTAGAAATTGCCAGCACCTACTTATATATCAAACATATAGGGAGAACAAAAAAAATATATAACTTCTCCATCGGAAATTTACATTTTTCGAGTATTTTAACTGATAAAATTACCCATAATATTGGTTGTTCAAAGTGGGCGGGGTTTTGAAGTAGAGGGAAAATTTCGAAATTTTACCGTAAAGGTTGGGAAATGGGGGCTACTATAGTATGTGGTCTACTGAGCTGGAGCTACTATAGTATGCGCTCTACCGAGCTGGAGCTACTATAGTATGTGGTCTACCGAGCTGGAGCTACTATAGTATGTGGTCTACTGAGCTGGAGCTACTATAGTATGCGCTCTACCAAGCTGGAGCTACTATAGTATGTGGTCTACCGAGCTGGAGCTACTATAGTATGCGCTCTACCAAGCTGGAGCTACTATAGTATGTGGTCTACCGAGCTGGAGCTACTATAGTATGCGCTCTACCGAGCTGGAGCTACTATAGTATGCGCTCTACCGAGCTGGAGCTACTATAGTATGTGGTCTACCGAGCTGAGCCACTAGTAGCATGTGGTCTACCGAGCTGGAGCTACTATAGTATGTGGTCTAATGAGCTGAGCCACTATAGTATGTGGTCTAATGAGGCTGAGCTACTATAGCATGTAGCCTAACGAGCTGGAGCTACTATAGTATGTGGTCTACTGAGCTGAGCTACTATATATGTGGTCTAATGAGCTGAGCTACTATAGTATGTGGTCTACCGAGCTGGAGCTACTATAGTATGCGCTCTACCGAGCTGGAGCTACTATAGTATGTGGTCTACCGAGCTGGAGCTACTATAGTATGTGGTCTACCGAGCTGGAGCTACTATAGTATGTGGTCTACCGAGCTTGTTTTTCAATTTTTTTTTTTTTAATAAAACATTATTTATGGTCTTTGGGGAAATTTACACAAATGGTAGTTGAGGCAGGCAGTTGGTCTTAACTACACCAAAGGAGTAGCTTCAGAAAAAGTTCTGGTGAAGAAAACTACTTTTATATTTTTAAATATGAAAAAAGGGGGGAATTCCAACATTTATTCTTTAGTTCTAATTAACCTAACCAAAATTAATGCACTCCCATCAAGGAAGGTAGGATAGTTGGTAGGTTTGGTTGTTTTATCTTTTTTCACTGAAGGCACCTGAAACCCATACCGGAGTACAGTGAGTTCTGCTATAACGCGTGTTTTGATAACGCGAATTTGCTCTAACGCGATTTATGAATTAGGAACGATATTTGTATAACGCGAACGCTTGTTTGCTATAACGCGATTTTTGCTTACTATTTCTCCAATTTTGTGGTATTAACTGTGAATATAGTAAAGAAGAATATCAACAAGAAGCGTTCTGGTGATAGAATTCCTGGTGATGATCATAAAAGAAAGGATATAACACTTGAAGAGAAGCTCGATTTTATCAACTTCAAAATCACCCTTCTCCCCTATCAAGTAAAGTGTTACATTTACTGTATGATTTCATTATTAGATATGAATGTAACATTTTTTAGACTGTGCTATCCCTTGTGTTAGGCTAACTACTAAATTTTTTCGATTTCGAGTAATCTGCACCTAACCCTATTTTCTCCATAAGCCATGTTATTTCTATTACGCGATTTTCTATAACACGATATTTTACAAGAACACAATTATCGCGTTATAGGAGAACTACCTGTACCATATTCTGCAGCACCCCCAATTCCATTGTCTATTGCAGTAGGCTAATATACCATATTACTGTCCTGTATTTCTTGATCTGTTGTACAGTAGTTTCATTAAGTTCTTTTCAACCAAAACACTGCTCTGCTACTTTAGCAGCTGAGATGTCATGAATTCATCTGCAAATGGTAATTATTGTCCAAGGGAGGATATTAAAGTGGGGGTTAATCATGAGGCAATCCCTTTTTTCTTGTTGTAATAACTATCAGAGTACAGTATTGTATTTAATAGATTAGGTGAGGATTGATTTTATGATTCAAGGTTGACAATTAAACTTTACAGGTCGTGATGGAAGTAGAGCATTTGTCAGTGGAGATTTTACTGAGGCAGGACTTAATGATGATGTCTCTGGATTGACAAGTGCTGACTATATTGGTCTTGATGACTGGGTCAAGTTTTATGATAAGGATTACAAATATGTGGGTAAGTTCTATTCTGTACTGTACAGTATTGTGTAAGTAATGTTGAAATGAGTAGTCTCTCTGCTTAAGGATAAGTATATGATCAAATTATACAGTACCCTGTTCTGTATTCAATGTGCTTTAACCTATTACTGTACAATGGATTTAAAAAGGTCCTGACATGACCCCTTTAATGAGCAAAAATATCTGAAATATCTTGGAACAAAAAATAGCTGAAAAATATACTGTACTGTATATGACATGAATTATGATTGTAAGACTAATTACAAAAAGTAAATTTAAAAAGTAATTCATAATTTTGAACAGACAGAATATAAACATCCATTTAATTCTTATATTAGGATAAATACACTGTATAGATATACCATATACAGTATAGTACTGTAATATCAGTCCCTGATTTACAGTATCTTTAAGAAATTTGCTTATAAAGTGGTTTTCTTTGTTGGGGTTTCATAAATAAGGGTGATATATTGTACTATACTGTGCTATACTTAGAGACATAATAATGTCTGTGATCATATTTTTTTTTGGGGGGGGGGGAATACTAGGGAAATTTTTGTTCTTAAAAGTCATTACTGTATTAGCCATGTGACATTCTAAAATCTTAGTAACACTGCGAAGCTAACATGACCATTATCTAAATCTTGACGAACTACAAAGAATGGATACCAAGTTTATTGAGTGATGTCTTTAATCATTTGGTAGGAATTCATTAGTCAGTACAGTATATCAGATATCATTTTGTTTCAAGATTAGTACAGTATAGTAATGGCAAAATTGATAAAGTGTATATTCTGTCTTGAAAAGGATCAAAGGAACAGTTCGGTTTATTTTAATGAAAGAAACTTTATTTTAAAACCAAGAGTGAAGTAGATATGTGAAAAGGGTGTAGTTGTTATCATCTAGTGCTTTATTGTGTAGGGTAGTGTTTCCCCTTGTACTGTAGTTGTTATCATCTAGTGCTTTATTGTGTAGGGTAGTGTTTCCCCTTGTACTGTAGTTGTTATCATCTAGTGCTTTATTGTGTAGGGTAGTGTTTCCCCTTGTACTGTAGTTGTTATCATCTAGTGCTTTATTGTGTAGGGTAGTGTTTCCCCTTGTACTGTAGTTGTTTTATGAATCTAATACTGTATAGTATTCTGAAGTGGTAAAGGGTGATACTTTGTAGACATTTGTCACATCATGTCGACTGATTAGCTTAAAGTTTGGATTGCACATAGCATTTGTACTTTCTCAATTTTACATTTTTGGTCTTTTGATAGAGTTTTCATTTTATCTTTATTGTCATTTTGAAGATCATTTAAGAAAGAGCTCTGTGTTTTGAATAAGCACATACAATACAGTACAGGTAAAATATGTTCGTGGTCATAATTTCTACCATCCGTACTTTAACCTTTAAATTTATTGTCCAGTACTTATAAGGGCATTTTATGTAACAGCCTATATCTCAGCACTGATTTTTGTCTTGTTCCCATCTGCAGTTAAAATACCAGATACCTAGTTTTTGGATTAAGTTACCTTATAATATAGTACAGGTATAATCATTTAATTAAAAATCCATTGCCTTTCTACAGGGAAATTAATTGGTCGCTACTATGATGAAAAGGGTGAGCCAACATCATATTACTTTGACCTACAGCGATGGATTTCCGAGTCTTACAGTCACAGAGATAGTGAAGACAAGGAGAAAAAGATGTTCCCACCATGTAATTCAGAGTGGAGTGCAGACTCTGGATCAAGAGTTTGGTGTACTAAAAGAAGGTACAGTATGATGAAACATAGAGCCAATACTCCTCCCACTGTACAGTAGCATAGCCAGTGAAGAACCTCTTGGTCACTACACATTGTCACACAATCCAAGAAAGGGTACCCCAAAATTCTCTATATAAGTACTTTACCTATTAATGCATATGAAATGAGCAGCGAGATGCTCGGGGTCTAGCCGGTATTTACCTCACCACACTTGACTGCACCACTCGAGAGATAATTGTACACTATGAGTCATAGCAAGCTTGCTATTTGAGATAAAAAGTTGGGGTTTGTTGCATTAGCATTCTAAATGAATTATGTACAAACAGTTTTATATGACTAATCACAATAAAATAATTATTTCTCTATTTAAGTCCGAGTAGAGCACAAAGATTTTGTTTACGTTTAACGAAAATGTTCATACAGCATACAGTACATCACTTTGTACCTTCGTTATTTTATGTGATTGCAATATGAACCTTATGCCATTATAAAGCATACATATTTAGCAAAAAATAGTTATTGAAGAAAAGTGGTGAAAGGATTAATATTTCGCTTGGTAATACCTGTAGTGGTGTAAATTGTGCGTTTTGATGAACTTGCCCAGGACGAGTACAGATTATTAATTTTTTCCCTCCGAGTGCAGAAGGTAATTGTTCATATTAAGTCATATCAAGCTTTCTATTGGAGATAAACCTTTCTTTGCGTGCGAGAGTGGGATGGACGAGCAGTGATAAAACCCCGTTGCTAAGGGTTGGAAAAGGAAATTCCCAGCTGGTCTGTGTTGCTATGGTGAGGCTTGAGGCCATGCAGCCAGTGTCTATGCAAATAGCATTTGCATTAAACATTTATTTAGCTCTTCCTTAATGGTTTTAGCTGCATATTTTTATCTAGATTATGTTTTGTCAATGTTTTTTTAATGTTATAAGTAGTAAAATTACAGGAGTTCTGTAATATCTATCTTTAGTTATGTAGGTTTTTGTTGTTTGTGAACCAATTCTTGATAGTGGTTTTTTTTTGTCTTTGCAGAACCGAACCCTATTTTCCCCATATGTTCTGTTATTCAAGATACGAAAATTCACTTAACGAATGATTTTCAGGAACATAATCCATTTCTATAGCAAGGAATACCTATATACTGCATAGCTATAAACTATAAAATACTGTACTGTACAGTTGACAGTATATAGAACAGTAGTTTTCTTTATTTCTATGTCACAGTACAGTATTTTAATGATGTGCACTGGAAACACAGAATCCTCAGTTTTTCCGACTTCCCCCCCCCCCAATTTTTTTCAAGTGAGTTGAAGATTGCTAAACCGAAAATTTATGGTTGTTAAATGAGAAAGGGTGTTAAAAATTTTAGATTGCATAGTGAACAATAACTAAATGAGACATACCTGTAGTATATACTGATGATGATAACCCAAGATGATAAGCATCTGTACTGCAGGCACCCAACTCTTCCAGACAAAACATTATTATTTATTAATGTTATACCTGATACAAATGAAGATTTAGAGATAATTGCATCTGTTAACATCACTATTTGCAGATAAGGTAATGTATTTACGATGCTAATGCAACAAACCTGACCTTTTTATCCAATAATATCTTGCTATGACTCAATATGTATAATTATCTTCTTCACTCAGAGGGAAAAAATTAATAATCTGTACCTGGCATGGGTGAGCTCATCAAAATGCACAATTTACACCACTATTTATTACCCAAATATTAATTTTTTACATCTTTTCTTTATAACTATTTTCTGTTATATATATATATATATATATATATATATATATATATATATATATATATATATATATATATATATATATATATATATATATATATATATATATATATATATATATATATATCATGTAAATCCACAATGAAAATGTGGATAAGATAAATCTTGATAAAATCACACGGCAACTCAAAGATGTCTTGAATAAAGACGAAAGCAAGGAGTATTTTCTATTTTATATATATATATATATATATATATATATATATATATATATATATATATATATATATATATATATATATATATATATATATATATATATATATATATATATATATATATATATATATATATATATATATATATATATATATATATATATATATATATACACACACAGTGGGGTATGCTATAACGAATCTAATTGGTTTTAGAACCTTGTTCGTTATAGCATTCGTTCGTTATAGGATTAATCCGTTCCAGGCCCCCAAATACAACCACTTAACACTGAAAAATATAATATAAAATTGTAAAAAAGTGCATAAATATGCATCTAAACCCCTGAAATAAAGAATATCATTAATACTTGTAATAAAAAAACAATAAATTAGAAAAACAAAATAAAACAAAAAACAAATTAAATAATGTTCGTTGTAGGAGTTTCGTTCGTTATAGCATTCTCAATTTTATAGGTAAAACCGTTCGTTATAGGAATATTCGTAGTATTATACAGGTCTCCATTTAACTGTACATAAACATGTTTCTTCACAAGTGTTTCACTCACACATTAAATGAAGCTGAATAGTACTGTATGTATACTTTTCTCAAACCTATAATTAAGAAGCATTAAGAATCAGATTATCAGTCATGATTAATTATGAACATGCTCTACTGTTTTTGACTATGCAGTGTGTGATAAGACCAGTGTACTGCACAATACTGTCATGAAGGACTGGATCATTTTTCTATGATACTCACTAAACTGACACATATCTAGATAATTTAATTCAACAGCATTGTGTTCATAGACAAGCTATATTTTACCAATAATATCAATATCAATCAATACCAGGCTGATGCTAAAATATACAGTAACTGAAAGGTTTGTGCTTTGAGAGACAATTGCCTCCTCATCATTTTTCTTTATATAATTCATCTAATGAAATACTGTATCCCATTATATATTTACACATGTTGAAAAAAAAATTGTTCTATACACAACTTAGTTATGAAATAGATATGGAATTATTGTGAAATACTGTACATTTATGGGAATACTACCACACAAGACCAGTCCTACCAATACACGATGATAACAGGAATACATTTTAAGTCTTCACCGATGTTTCAGATTGTTATGCACAGCAGGAGTAGATTTTGTTTTTGCTGACTGCACAGTAGCTAAAACAACTTTCTGTGCATACTTTGTGGGAAACAATGTGAGACCATGGACGATAAATTTTGGTATATGATTCACATGTAAAATTTCAGAGCATATCGACCCCCACCTGCACAGATAGTTGCTTTAGCTACTGTACATATATTCTCAAATTACTTATCATTATGTTTAAGTTATTGATTGCATTTCTCTACAGCGGAGGTGTGCAACGTGACTGGGCTGGGGTACCACGGAAGCTTTATAGCCCAGGTCAACCTAAACCTCGGTGTGCATGTGTTAAAGGGTTTGGGGCTCCTTCCCATGATCCGAATAGAATGCCACATGACAACAGGGGTGATCTTGACAACCCTCATGTGGAGGAATATGCTGGGTGTGAAACAGACCAACCTGTATGTCTTATTAAGGAGGATTAAGTCCAGGTACCTGCCTTCACCCCCTTCATGTGTGATAAAGCTTATAGGAGTAAGTACATTTACTCATTTACCCCTCCTGTCTTTTTCATACTTATAAAAAATTATGTAATCTCTGATATTGAGAAAAGATTTCAGGTTTTTACATTTTGCCATTTATGATCTTGATTACATTAAATTCAAGAAGATGCATATCTGTTGGGGAGCATAGCTACACAAATATATTAATACTGTACATAGTTCAGATGAGGTCAGTGATGAGTGAGATGATTATGAGTGATGAGAAATGGTGAACTGGTGAATGTTTGATGCAGTGGTTGTGAATTATGCAGACTCCTGTTCAAGTATTATTTGTCTACAGTTTATAAAAAAAAGTTATTGAATGCCCCAAACTACTCAAATTTCCTGTGAGCAGATAACTAGAACAATATATATGATTTTATTTAGCCACTTCAGTGTAATGGGTTACTGAAAAGTGTGTATTACTATAGTATTTCCATGTTGAGCTGGCCCGTAAGCCACACACCTCGTCTATAGCTTCAAATAGCTGATTGGTTCCCCTGAGCGTTTCACCTCCCCCAGACTGCGCGTATATAAGTGCGTACAGTTGGCCCTTAACATACGCGGGGGTTACGTAACAGAGATACCCGTGGATGTTAAAAATCCGCATATATGTGCTGCCCCCCCCCAAAAAAAACCTGGTACCCCCATGTCCTTATTTACCATATATACCTGTGTCTAGTTCAAGTTTTTAAGACCAAATTATTTGGCAAAAAATTGGGGGTCGACCTCTAAACGGGTAATAGTTTCGTTAGGTTGAAAAATATTTACCAGTAACTATCAGTAAACAATGGAAACGATGCACCAACACACCACCAGCTGTGAGTGTCGGTACAGTTGCCAGGGCAGACCTCTTGCGTCATCATAGCAAGCCCAAAGTAGCCAAATCCATGGTATGGTAGCACAGGACGATGTAAAACAAAGTATTCATTTATTAAAGTTTATTTATAGATACTGTACATAAATTTTTGTTCATTACATTTGAAACATCAATCTTTGTTAATTAAATATGAAACAAAAGAAAACTACGATACCGTATTTTCATTAAAATATTACATCACAAGTATATTTTACCTTAACTGTGACTGAATGAATATAGGTATTCTCAGAGATAAATATGGAATTATAATATTTTTGCTGGAATGACATACATATTACAGTGGAAAGACGAAAACAATGACTTTCGCTTTCTTTCGTTATTCAAAAGATTTTACCGTAATCGCTTTTCGAATGGTTTTCAGTTAAAAAACTGTTGTACTCGTACTGTATTACAATAATATTCTATCCTATCATTAGCCTTATAATCCCACAACTGAAAACCATTCGAAAAGCGATTACGGTAACATCTTTTGAACGAAAGAAAGAGAAAGTCATTGCTTTCGTCACAATTTTATCCCACTTTCCACTGTAATACGTACATCATTTCAGCAAAAATATTACATTTCCATGTTCTCAGAAATAAATGGTAGTTTTGTTGAAACGTATTGTACAATATTTAATATTAAAATGCAAAAATAGCTATAAAAACAATTAATACACCCGTAATGTACTGGCTGGCATCTCCACTCGTCCCTGCTCCCGCGTCCAAGGTCACCACTCCTCCCAACTCGCTCCCTCCGCTCCCTCCTCCACCTCCTCTGCCTCCTCCACCCCCTCCCCGTCACTACTGCCGACTACGAACACAAATGTTTTGTGAATAACTGCACCTCCACTTCCTATGTACAGTACTGAACTGTACTGTGCTGTGCATTTTTACAAACAATAAACATGGCAAGAAAAGCTATTAAAAAAAAAAAAGAGATAAAAATTTCACTTTACTGTACAGTACCTATCCTCGGCGACAGGACGGGGGTCATCGGGCTCATCGTCACTCAATTCCATAACGGGTGGTGAAGTGGGGGCGACGGTGGATTCAGCTGCTTCCTCACTGCCGCCAGTGATTGATGGTGTTAAATCTTTCCTTCGGTGATCAAAGAACATGGTGATGGGGAGTTGTTGTCTCTTTCTTTCATTTCTTCCATGATGTTTTTGTATGGAGCGAAAACGTCATCCATCCCTCGCATAAATTTCAGGGCACGCACCATGGAGGGGTCCATACTATAGGCCAGGTTTTTCAGTGCCTCAATATTCCTGGTCATCTCCCCCAACTTCTCCAACGTTATTTCTTGGTGCTCTTCCTCATCCTCTTTCCCTTTCGCTTCCTCTTCCTTGCCTGAGTCTACTAACTCCTGTAGATCCTCCTCGGTCAGCTCAGTGTCGTGCTCTTCAATTAGCTCCCTAATCTCGTCCTCTGCCATGTCCCGGAAGCCTTCAGCAGCCACTTTCCTTGACAGTGCCAGGGTTTTTCTGAATATTTTCATTAAAATCCATCAAAATCATTTTCCTTGTCATCGTCTTAAGCACCAAACAGCTCCTCCGAGTCTTCTCCTTGAACAGGGCTAGAGGGTACGTGTTTTTCGAATCGTTTTCAATTAAAAAAATGTTACAGCACATGTATATTTTACCTAAACTGTGCCTCAATGAATATATTCTCAGAAATAAATAGTAGTTTTGCTGAAACGTGATGTATTTCAATGTAAATTAGGATAAAATACATGACGAAAACAAAAGACTTTACCTAACCTTCCAATGTTCAAGAGATGTTACTCGTTTTTTTAATAGTTTTCGGTTAAAATACTGTTATATTACAATGATATTATATTCATACTGTGCTTGATATACTACATTCACGGAAATGTAATATTTTTGCTGAAATGACTTACGTATTACAGTGGAAAGTGACGAAAACATTGACTTTCGAATGGTTTTCAGTTAAAAAAACTGTTGCATCACAAGTGAATTAGGATAGAATATTATTGTAATACAACAGTTTTTTTAACTGAAAACCATTTGAAAAGCGATTACGGTAACATCTTTTGAACGAAAGAAAGCGAGTCATTGGTTTCATCACGTCATTTCAGCAAAATATTACATTTCCATATTCTCAGAAATAAATAGTAGTTTTGCTGAAACGTAATGCATTTCAATGTAAATTAGGATAAACTACATGAAAACAAAAGACTTTACCTAGCCTTCCGATGTTCAAGATATGTTACTCGTTTTTTAGTAGTTTTCGGTTAAAATACTCTTATATTAGTGATATTCTATTCATACTGTGCTTGATATAATACATTCATGGAAATGTAATATTTTTGCAACTACAATGCTGATGTCAACACAAGCGTGGTTACAGCGAGACTGACTGAGTGAGGGAGAGCTATGTGTGTGTGTGTGAGGTTGCGGGAGGGGGCGGTGTCCCGTGTTCGGTTCCGCGGCGAGTTGAATGGCGCGCGATTTGAATGTACCTGTACTTCAATTACTTCAATGTACAGAATATTCCTCCAGCGGGGCAATCCGCGTATTTGCAAATCCGTGTTTTATAAACCCGCGTATGTTAAGGGCCGACTGTATTTACATCGACTTTTTAATAAATATTAAAAAATTTCAAACATCCTCTCTGAAGTGCTAATGCTTTGAAATGATTTGCATTTTCATAATGAACATTATTTTTTATAATAACAGGTCTGCTTACCAATTGTGGACACATTTAGTTTGAATTTTCTATGAACCAATCAGCTTTTAGTATAGAAGGGGGGGCAGGGCCTGTGGGCCAGGTTAGCATGGAAAGGGTATAGTTGTTATTTATATACAGGGTATATAGTGCTTGCATTTGTACATAAAACCTGCAATGGTGCCTTCCTCCTTTTAAAAGATGGAGAGCATTCACTGTGCAATATTATGGGGATCTCTGTAACCAGTTATGTTTGAAATGTTTGTTAGAATGTTAAAGTACTTCAAATAATTCCACTTGCTAGATCCGTATTTATTTGTTTATTTGTTTTATATTTCCATTACGGTATTTTGATATGCTCAATATGTTGAGGATCAAAATCATTGTACAGTACAGTCTCAATCAAACATTTATTCCCCATAGTTTAACTAAGTCACAAGAATGAGTCTCCAGACTTACCAGTACAGTCAGTCCTCGACTTATGATGGGGTTAGGGACCGACGACCAGGTCTTAAGTCGAAAATGTGAAAATAATACATAGAAAATCTAAAATGGGTGTCTCTTTTTCTTCTCAGCACCACAAGAACTCTCACTTTTACGCTTGCCAGCCATTTTAAAGGGAATTACAAACAAAAATTTTGTCAGTACACAACGCAATCACTAACGTCGGAGCTCGAAAATACGTAATTTGAAAAATATTTTATACGACTGTGGCGGTCGTATGTCCAAGTGGGGGATGGTCTTAGTAGGTTAGGGTGTCTTAAGTTGTATCTCTAATTATTCCGGAACTCGAAATAATTATTGTCAAGCAGGTGATTGACAGATTCGAAACAAATAGGGCACAGCAGCTGTTAATATCCTCGAATTTCAAAATTTTCAACGTAGCAAATTGTTTGTTTGTGTGATCATTTTTTTTACGTAGGTCATTGTCCGCACAACTCTCATTTGTGTAGTAATCAGGGGTTGTGTTTTTGAAGGGCCAGAGGCCCACCATAGTGTGTGACTTATCAAGTGTTGGTAAACAAGATAATAGATTTCTTTCATTGCTGTAAGAGTGAGTGACTATCGAGTGTGATACAGGATACTGCACTGTTTATTAACTTTACTGTGAATGGCTTGTACAGTAGGGTCGGGATATATAGCAAGATAGGGTCCAAGGATGTTCGCTATATACTAAATCACAATATATAATTACATGTAATCAATGGGGAAGATAGGGTTAGGTTCTGGAGGCTAATAAAAGTGACTAAACTTGACATAAAATGGCACAGTATAAATTTAGCAAAATATAAATTTTGGTGTTATCCTTGCAAGACAGCGAATAATTTATATTTTAAAAAACTATAAAAAAATCCACAAAATATCCTTGCAAAATAGGGGTGCGTCTATGTGGTGGTGCATCTTATATGCCGGCAAATACGGTAATTTTGTATTTCAAGTCT